CACGGCCCGCCATGAGTCGCTGTACGTGACAGAAGAGCAGCAGGAACATGTTTGTGTGGTTGGTGAATTTTTCTGTAGCTGCTACCTCCACCTTCATGTTGCAGGCAGCCCTGGCCAGGTCAGGGTCCTGACGGCGCGAGTGCGCCCCAAGTTCCACCTTTTACATCATCTTTTCCTGCTAAGCAAATCGCAACGCCGGAATGTATCGGCGTGTGCGTGCTGGATGGACGAGGACTGGATCGAAAAGGTGGCTGCCATCGCCCGCAAAGTCCACCTAAAATCCTATGCGATACACACGCTGAAGAGATGGCTTCTGGGCATTAGATACAAGGTGGCTGATGTTTTGGAGGCCCAAACCTTAATTGGTGTGTGCGTCTGCTCTGTGTGCGTGTGTTTTGATCTCTTCCAAATTTCATATGTTTGAAAGAGGCCGGAGATGAGCGTGCTGCTCATGCAACGATCGTGCCCGCGTGAGAAAAACAGGGAGAGACCATATGTTGTTGCTCGCAAGTTTGGTTGAAGTTCTAATGCCTGGCTTGCTTCATGTCGAAGTATGCTGCAGTGTACAGCTCTCGAATTCGTTTCCCTTGCAAGTTGTGGAGCCGCCGTGCCGGGCCAACGCCGCGGCAAAGACGTCCGAGGCTCATGTCAAAAGGGTTATCGTAGAAGTGTGCTGCAGTGAGGATTCACTGATAGGACAGGTTGCAGATAAAGAGTTTCAGGATTGTAAAGTCATCTGCATCACTGAGAAAGATAACCTCAATGATCCTTCAACTAGGAAGCGTATCGTGTCAGCTTGCAAAGAACACCACAGGAAGGGCCATCCAATACTCATATGGACTAGCCTCCCGTGTACGGGGGGCACAAGTGGATTGAAAAGCATCAGCTGACCAAGGCCCACTTTGATGGATGCAGATACGGACTAAAGGATTCCCATGGCAATTACGTCAAGAAGCCATGGACATTTGCCACAACTTGTGAAGATATTAGGAGAGAGTTCGATGGCAAAAGGTGTAGGAAAGATCATGATCATGCAAAGTGTCTTAAGGACAGTGAATCCTACTCCAAGGCCATCGTTAGATCAATTCATAGGACATTTAAGAAGCATTGCAACAGGTTGCAAGGCGAGCAGGACCATTCTCGCGTTGTTCCAGCAGCAACTGCCACTCGGACTCGCGCCCACTTTGCAATCCCCATCAATCAGCATTGGATCATGGCTGCCTCCGCATCCTCG